GGTGATAACTACCTTAAATTTGTCAATTTTTCATATTCAAGTTTGTTTAATTAAAATGTAAAGAACTTTGGCACACGATTCATTGAAGAGAAACGTTCATTTGCCCGTTCATACTCTCACGTCTCATTCGATTGCGCATTTTGCAATAAAAATTCCTGCGAATAAATAGGAAGACGTAGCGCGATGTGCCGATATGAAGACATAACGCAATATACCGAGCGGATGGCACACTCGTGAAAATTATAAATTCCTTCGTTTATTTTATTGCGAAACGGATGAAAATTTGCGCGGAAGCTCGCGAGCCCGTGGCAGTGGCGACGGCGCGGTGCGCGGCAGGCGTAATTTGTCGAGACGACGACGGGGTTGCGTCGAGGCCGCTGAAAATTTTAATTCCTTGCGAGAAAACGCGGGGCAGAAGCCGGCGGGAGCTCATTTGTTCCGTGGCAATTACGGCCGCGCGATACGGCATAAAGAGCGCGTGGGTACCTACGTGCGCGAAAAAACGCGGCCAGACAGCGGGAAACGAATACCTGCAGACAGCAGTGACGGGCGTGCATTTTTTACGAAGGGGGAAACGTAACGCGGACGGAGGGAAAGGTTGCCAAGTTGTTTGCGGGTCTGATCGGAGATTGATTTAGGAGAACAGGAATTAGACGTCTCTGTTCGTTCGTTTTTCACACATTATCTTTCGAATTTTTACTAAAAAAATATAACATGTCTACTTTCATTAAATTAGATATTGTTGAGAGATTGGTATTATTAGGATTATAAAAATTGACAGAGGCGAGACACATGTATGACAAGGAATAACTCGTTAGTGGTCGTAAAGCGGCTAATTGAGGCTAGCGAAAATGTTTTTATGCAGAACTTGTAGGCACTGACGTCCTATAACTTCGATATTTAAAGAGGTAAGTATGATTAATTGGCATTTTATTGGCATTGGCGAAATTCGCCCGTCGAATTCAGCGAACTTTGGACAATACTTTTCCTTTTTCGTCAATAACTCCCGAACGGATGGTCGTAGGAGGACGTTTGTACGCTCATTTTGTAGGGAACGACGAGATCTACAA